GTGTGTGTGTGTGTGTTTGGTCCATGAGTCTGTGCTTGTACTGTTCAAATGAATGGTGTCTGATTCTTGGTATGATTGGTAGCATCAGAAGTGATGGTAGTAGTGTGTATGTTCAGCACTCTGAACTGCCACACATGCGTTCATTTCCTCACGTCTTTGCTCAGTCATGTAGATGAGCTGTTCCACTGGGCCTGTACCATAATTGGCCAATTTACTTTGTGTTTACCAGATTTGCTTTTCATATCTGCATATATATACAAAACATTGCAGACTGAAAAGGCCTCGGCCTGCGTCTCAGTGCTGCTGTGCCCCAAAAATAGGCTATAACAAATGAGGAAAGGAACACTGAGCATGTCTGCAAGCTGCATTCAGAGAGAGAGGATGACTAAGTGTCTGTATTACCTGCGTGTGTGTGTAGGAAAGTGCATTTGCATGTATGACTCATTCAGTTGTCATCTGCCAACAGAGAAAATTAGGTCTGACGACAAGAATGCTATGTTCCAGGACAGTTGTTTAAATGCACAAAAATGAACGGAACTTGCTTTTTGACCATTGTACTTTTCCGTTCCATGCTGCATACGGATACTTAAGGTTCCTAAAGCTGAAGAGACCAAAAGATGGAAGGTGTGGCCAGACACCAGACATACACCTGTATAAATCTCATTAGTTTGTGTTATTATGCCCTCCACTTCTCTGCATGTTTTTCTCCATCACTGCTTCATCGTACATCCTGATTTGTTCTGTGCTCGTTCTTGTCTCATCTGTGAACGCTTTCAAATTTTTCTATATGGCTTTTGAAATGCAAAATCAATAACCTCTTGATCTGATTGATTATAAGTTGAATGGACTCCAACTGTCAATTGATCCTCTCTGGACTGCCAGTATCCTGGCTCCTGCTGCTGCAGAATATAAATGACTAGCTGTCCGTAGCGCTGCACTCTTGGTGCTGCAGACGGGCCTCAGCAGTATTTAGAGGTCATACACTGGAGCTGTGCTACGCTAGCAGACTGCCAAACGCCTACAAGCTCATAGCAGCTTTTAACCCCCGGGGCTACTGAATCAAAACAGTTCTGACATCATAAAGGGCTGACACGCCCTCCTTGATGACTGTGCATTTCAGGCTGTTGCATCATTGCCCGAGAGTCCATTTGGCATGAAACTGTGTTACCTTTCTGTACCTGTGGCTTTGCTTGCAACCATATCATTGTGGTGAAAGTCAGTGAAAGTTCACTTTTGTTAAAATGTGCCTTTTTAGTAGTGTATGTCCTCTGTTTTACAGGATGACTATATCCCCTACCCACGGATAGAAGATGTGAGTCATTTCTCACTCATATTAAACACTCTTAACACACTTTTATGTCCTTCTCATGTGGAATCACTAGCTAAGAGTGTTTCCTACAATAGATAATACATTTAAAGTTGAAGTACTTCACATTTTTTATTATTATGTGCTTAACAACTTGGCCTTAGGTTAATGAAACTTTGCATAGTATTACATTACATACATATTTATCTACCTCCCTTCCTCTCTGCTGCCTTTCTGTCCAAGGTCCTTGAGAAAGGTGGTCCCTACCCCCAGGTAATCCTGCCACAGTTCGGGGGTTACTGGATTGAGGATGTGGAGGCACCAGCAGGGACCCCCTCCTCCTCAGAGTCCAGTTTCTGTGAGGAGGAGGAAGGAGGAGAGGGCATGAGCCCTGGTGGGGGGCACAGCTACCGCCTGGAGTGCAACAGCACAGCCCGTGCCTACCGCAAACACTTCCTTGGCAAGGTTAGTGTGTTTGTGTGTGTATATTCATGTCAGATTCACCATGCATTTAGCAAGGGTCCATTATTGTGTTTGAACACAAATCTCTCTCTCTCTCTCGCACACACACATCCTTTTTTCTACACTCATGTGTCCAGGAACACATGAACTACTACTGCACGGGCAGCAGCATAGGCCACCTCATCATGTCTTTGAAACACGAGGAGACTGAGGGACAGGAGTACCTACGCATCATGCTCAGGTACAATGACAGAACTGAATGCACTGCCATTTGATGTGTTTCATGTGTCAAACTGTAAAGTATAACTTACACGATAACATATCTACCCTACATCCTTAATGTAGAGTTTTACTCTTTTTTGGTATAATCCATGTTTCTCTTGGGTCCAGGCTATTAAAGTCTGTCTTAAACGTGTCTATTCTCCTGGTCTGCTGGTTTTCTTCTTGTTCTTGTTAGTGATGGGCCATACCAAAAATCACAGTTTTTAATCCCATACCAAGGTACGGAGGGCTTACAGGACTGAGAGTCTACAGCCAGACAAATTTAACTTTTGACGTGGAAGTGGCGATAGAAAAAAAGTCACACGATCATCAGAATATTAACAAATCATCCTGAGGGGGACGTATAAGTCTTTACCAAATTTTATGGCAATCCATTTAGCAGTGGTGTATCACTGTGAACTTCATGGTGACACTAGAGGAAAACTCAGGTGATCACCAAAGTCAGGAGGAATCATCGTCTGGGGACCATAAATGTCTGCACAAAATTACATGACAATACATTTTGTAGCTGTTTAGAATTTTCAGTCTGGACCAAAGTGATGGACCAACGACAAATTGGTTTGGGTTTCACTCCTCCTTCCTCCTTTCTTTTCTGTTGCAGCTCTTTATGTTCTTTGTCATGATTACATCTGAGCAGATTTGTGGTGATGTATTGGACAGCTTTCTTGCCATTGTCACAGTTGGTGACATTTTCATTAACAGGCGAGAAAAACAATGAATTAATGCTATGTCTTTGATTAGAAATTGTGGGGGCTGCAGAGGGGACTGTAGCCATGTGATGGCTACTCTGGCTTTTGACAGCTGACAGTGATAATGCCCATAATATCGCCGCCATTATTGATACATTTGTTTCTGAGACTAAACTCATCATGACCATAGCTTTTCTCTAATTTCATCTAAGAAGCATGAAAAGCATACAAACCAGGTCTTACCTAAAACATCTAAAGTTAAGAAATCTACCTTATCACCCTTGTTCTGTTGCAGGTCAAGGATCAAAACAGTCCATGACAGGATCTCTTTAGCAGGCATCAACCAGCTGCCCAGTGTACCCCAGATTGCCAAGGTAAGAGACAGTTTACAAGTACTCAAGGTTTAAAAATTTTCCATGAATGTCCTACATTCTCCATGTACACATAGCAATAAGTGCAGGATTTGATGTATGGAGACTGGCTCACTCTTAACAGAAAGGCTTGAGGGGGAAATATATTTTTTTCAACTGATTCCATACTTTATATCCTCTCACAACAGAACCTTAACTTTTCCAAAACATAAAAAAACCATAATGCAACACAAAAGCATTCAACAAAATCAGGCTTTGACTGACTCCTTCAATGGCAGAGATCAGTATGTTGGGTGCCAAAAAGGCCTGCCAAGTCCAAATTCTTCTTTGGATATACTCAGTGGTAGGAGAGACCTGTCACGTAATAAACACAGCTGTGAAGATTCTGGCGATGGTTTAAGCAACCACTCAACCAGCACACTTTTGATTGCTTGCTTTCCCACATTAAATGAAGAAAAGTACCAGCTTGCTTTATCTTTACGCTTCCAACAATAATTATCATCCATGAGTCGCTTTTGCATTTGATGATTTTTTTACTCTGACATGTGATTCAGTGATCCAGTCAGGGATAGAAAGGTATTACATTCTCTAAGCAAATGTGATGATAAACCAAGCATGTACACCAAGCACATTATTAGGATTTTTAGATGGCAAGGAATTTTTAACTTCTGAATACATTTATACAGATTTTGTATTAATTTGCAAATGAGCTTTTGTGCATGAACTCAGTGGCATTAAAATCATTTTTGGATCTTCCAGTGGGCATATTTTCCAGTATATATAATGAGATATCTCTCATACTGTATGGTATCAGTCAAATATACTAAGTCCATTTTTTCTCTTTCAGCTTCTGTGTGATGATGCCACAGGGCTGAAGTTCAACCCGGTCCTATACCCTCGGGTGAGTTTATTCTAAACTCCCACACTGTGACCTCATTAATAACATGTCTGTTCATATATAGCCAGTTATAAATGTATTCATTCAAACTGACATGAGTTACCCTTCCCCGTCTCTGTCTGCGTCTGCTGAGAGACAAAGGGGCACTAGAGTTCAAAGTGCTAATGCTACATTCAGTAATATCTGCCTCAACTTTAATAAATTTCATCTGCAACTTTTCATATTCTGCACCTCCATAAATATTTCATGCCCTTTACTTAAGGCCTGAGACATTTTTTTTAACCATCAACTGATGCAGTGTTTCCTTTAATTATGTTTGCCAGCATCGCCCACCTGTCCCTACACCAACACCTTCATCAACTTTTCACCGTCATCAACCCTGTTTCACCCAACGCTTAACCAGAAACATACATCTAATCACATTTTACCCTCCTAAGCCCCCCACCTCAGTAACACCTGCCATGTTTAACAGGTACATTATTCAAAAATGATTGATGATATTAAGAGCGGGCGACAACTTCCTAAAGTGGATACGATTGATCTGCTTCTCCTCCCATGAGCCCTGTGGAGGAGTGTGATGGAGCATGCTTTCAGCCTGTGCCTCGGGAAAGGAAATAAAACCCATCTGTGTCTCAGTCTGTAAGAAGCAGCGACAAGCTCATTGCCCTCGCTGAGGGGCCGTGACAGTATGTTACATGTCAGCCTTATGTAAGAAGGGTCCAATAAACCTGCCCTGGAGATATGATGGAGAACAGGAAAACATGTTTTGCTCCCTACCACAGCGAGAAGAAAGTGTTTAACAGTCAGATAAGTAACCACAGGGAGTAAGTAAGAAATTGTTGTCTTTGTGTATGTACAGGGATCCCAGTTGATAGTGGCTTATGATGAACATGAGGTGAACAACACTTTCAAATTTGGAGTTGTCTACCAGAAGTTTGGACAGGTGAGTGATCACCTTTATGTTTTTCTTGTTAGTAGTCATGTTTCCATCAATGTATTTTTATGTACATGTTGAAGTATCACATTAGAAAAGGATGATGGAAATGGCAAAACTTAAAAAAGTACTCAATTTCATTGAGAGTGGAGGAGATGAAGACACTTTCTTCAAATAAGTTCTGACGTAGCGAACATTTAACTCACAGGACTGATGAGCTGTTTCTGCTACAACAGTCTACTCATCGCTCCTGTGGCTGTATGATACATCCATGATCGCTCCACACAGATCTGATGTGACCCCCCTCACATTAAAATATAAAACAAACTGAAATGTCTAATTTCCATTGTGTTTTCTCCATTGTATATTAATCACGTCATCTTGTTGTGCCCTCTTCTGGATTTTCCAACTGGAGAATTGGCTCCACCTACTGCTTATCTCACTGAATCAGCTCCTAATAATTGCATAGCACTAGTGGATAGAAACAAGAATTTGTTTCCATTTTCTTTTGCCAATTTACTCAAAATGTGGTTAACATTACATACATTTGGATGGAAACATGGCTGGTGTGTTATCTCACATAGACCATCTGACCTCTTTTTTTAAATCTCTTTTATCTTTCACCCTGTTTCTGTCCTCTACCATTTTTGTGTCTCTTCCTCTCAGACATCAGAGGAAGAGCTGTTTGGGAACAATGAGGAGACACCAGCTTTCAAGGAATTTCTCAGTATCCTGGGCGACAACATTGAACTCCAGGACTTTAAAGGGTAAGAGCAGGAGTAGAGTGCAACTAAATAAGAGAAAAGAAGCAGAGTAAAGTGCAATGAAACTGAACAAAAAAATGAGGGCAATATTCAGAAACATAAAACTAAACAGAGACCAGAGAAAAAGGTCCACGCACAAAAAGGTTGCCATGAAAGTGCTTGGCAATAAAGGAAAATAGCAGCCTTTAATTACTGTAACCTTGGAGCAATTTGTCCTGCTGTTTTGGCCTCAGCGTGCAAGCAGGATAAACTGCTTAGTGAAACAAATCTGAAAAAGAAAGTGCCACATGGACAGGTAATCAGAGCTTTGTACACTGTGTTTATTGTCTTGCAGGCTTTTTCAATTGTGTTACACTTGTTACTTTTACTGTTAGGGTGGCCTTGAACTGTAGCTGACACATTATTACAGCAAACTTTCGGGTGGCACTGGAGCTAGTTAAGCCTAAAACGAAACTGACATTAAAAATAGATGGAATAAAATCTTATCTTCTTACTGAAGGTTGGTCGCCACACGGAGAGCATGACACATGTGCTTTGATAATGTGACAGGTTCCGCGGTGGCCTGGATGTGTCCCATGGACAGACAGGGTCTGAATCTGTCTACACTGTCTTCAGACAGAGAGAGATTATGTTCCATGTGTCAACTAAACTTCCCTTCACTGAGGGAGACGTCCAGCAGGTAAAATACTTTAATACTGACTTTATTATTGTTGTACTGAAGGCACTATGGATTTAGCTGCAAAGCCAGGATCCTTTGGCTCAAATATATCAATATTAAACTGCTCCGGTCTGGCTATTGACAATACATTAACTTGTTCTCCTGGCTAAATTGCTGTTATGTAAGGTGTGGCTAAATCAAACAGTGATTTGATTTGAAGCTGCAAATAACCTCCTTAGAAACCAATAAATCCCTTTTGCAATGCAGTCAACGTGTCCTAGAAGACTTATAAATAGTACTGTTTTTAAAAAAAAAAATTTATTCTGTTGACCAACCAAGTCTTTTCCTCTCCGTTTCTTTAGCTCCAGAGGAAAAGGCACATAGGAAATGACATCGTGGCCACAGTCTTCCAAGAAGAGGCCACACCGTTTGTTCCTGACATGATCGCCTCCAACTTCCTTCATGCTTACGTCCTGGTGCAGGTTGAGAACCCCTGTACAGAGCACACAACATACAAGGTATAAAGCAGACCCCTTAAATGAGTAAATCACACAAGCTGTATATAGTTTTTGAAGGTGCCAGTGGTCCTTCTCAGCTGGGCACAACAAAGTTATTGATGAATCACTCATCACTCGATGGGGATGTGTTTCTTCACACTTTGTCTCGTCCTCCCAGCTTGAAACCAGAACCCTCCTGAAATACACGCTAATAAAGTGTGACTATTATTTGTTTTATGTCAACAGGTGTCTGTTACAGCCAGGGAGGATGTGCCTCCTTTTGGACCCCCTCTCCCGAACCCAGCTGTCTTCAGAAAGGTGAGCGACAGAAATATATCTGATTGAAATGTTCACCTTGACTCGACAAATTCAAAAAATGACACCAAATAACACCAATGGCTTCACATGGACTTTAGCCCTTTAGCTGGATTAAAAAGTGTTCTGACAATGGCAAAACTTTGAATTAATCCAACAACAGCCAATCACACAGAAGGGAAAATGTGCGTTTGGCTAAAGAGGATACTTTTCTGTGTTCAAGAAAAGCTGAACTAACCTAACATACAGTATCAATACACACCTAATCAGTTTGCTTGTAAATGGCAAAATGTTGATAGATAGTTGATAATTACAAATTTTAAAACATATTCAATATTTTTGTATGTACTAGTAGCTGAATGCAGGACTTTTACTTGGAGTATTATTAAGTATTATTGATTAATGAGTATTAAAGAGTATTTTTACATTGTTGCATCACTTCCTCAGTATGGGATCTGAGTATTTCTTGTGAGTTTTCAAAATGTTCTTATTTAAAAAAGGTTAAACAGTTTGAAGTTTGGGCCCACATTAAATATCTGTTACTCTTCTCTTTATCTTGTATTTTGACATTAGCCTAAATTACTTTCTTTATTTTAGATCATTTTCACAATGGGGAAACTGCATTGTGTCATCATCATAGTGTGTTTCAACACTGTATCTGTATGGTGCTGATAAAGGTCACCTTTTCCTTTACTCATTGTTGCCTCCCACCCTTGTGGTTCATTGTCTAAATATATGTCCTCTCTCTCTCTCTCTCTTTCTCTCTCTCCTTCTCTCTGTCACTCTCTCTCTCTCCAGGGTCCTGAATTTCGAGACTTCCTGCTGACAAAGCTGATCAATGCCGAAAACGCTTGCTACAAATCTGACAAATTCGCCAAACTAGAGGTGACACACGTTCACACAACGGCACTCAAAACACCCCAGCATGCCTTCAATCACCGCACAGCTTAATCACCGTCCTGGTGCTTGCCTACATGAGTTTTGTGTGTGTGAATTGATTCCAGGGGAGGACACGAGCCGCACTGCTCGACAACCTCCATGACGAGCTGCACAGACAGAGCCAGGCCGCGCTGGGTCTGGGCCAGGCCGGGGAGGAGGACAAGCTGGAGAACGGGGGACACGGGGGTCTGTTAGAGTCCTTTAAGGTGAACATAAACATGGACAAAAGCATAGGTGACACCATGTAATCTTCTCTCAGCTCTGTGACATTTATTGAATCACCGTCGTTACAGCACAAGAGTGTGAGGTTTTCTTGCTGTAGGTCAACTAAATGTCACAGGTCTGTAAGATGACTTCAGGTGCTAAACCACGGGTTGCATTGTTGCTGCTGCTGCTTTTCTGGATGCTCGAAGATTTTCACCTTATGTGTGTGGGTGTGTGAGCGTGTAGGCATATGCATTTGGTGTGTGTGTGAAAATGACTACAAACACTGTGGTGCTTATGAATTTGTAAAACAAGAAACGGTCTCTATCTTTCTCTTTTTCTCTCATTTGCCATCTGACTCTCATCACTCGCTGACTCTTAACACTCTTTTTCCCACAACTAAAGGCTAAGTGATGTTAATAGGACCATTAAAATGTGTATTTCCGTCTGTGTGTGTGAGATGAATGTGTGACTAATGGGACAATTTGGCTCTCTTACTCTTCACAGGCATTATGGACAGCTACTTTGCACTTTCTGCAGTCAGTACCAGGGGGTGCTGTTCTCATTGCTGTCCTGGCAGTCACTGTGTATTACCTGTCTGCATTACTGTAAATCCAACAGAGGATCACCACATAATTAAAATAAACATTCTTTTATATGATGTTGTTTGTGTTTATACTTTCAAATAAAATAAGCACTTCATGCTGTATCTGCAGTAGATTAAGAATTAAGAACGACACAACATGTTATATTCTTATTTTTTATTTCAATTTTAATGACTGGAATGGATTGTGGACTAGACAAATTGCAGTGAATCATGTTATCAATGGGCTAAATGAATATAAAGCTACAATAATAAGGATAAGTACAACACATGTTCGATTATCTACTCCAACTCCATTGGCTTCTTCTTGGAGAACTGCGTCCTCTGGTGGTTATATAGTGCAATAACATCTATGAGCCTAAATATTAATTCATACATTAAAATTAATTATGCTTTTAAAATGATAAAACCTCACTTTTGTTCAGTACCTCCATTTCACTCTCCACCCCCCTGTCCTCCCATGAACACTTTCCCTGTCACCAACTAACCTTCTGTCCCTTTCCTCTGTGTTCCTCCTCTCTCCTCATCCACTCATTTTCTTGTTTCCTCTCCGTCCTCCAGAGAGCCATGCGTGTCAGGAGCCACTCCATGGAGACCATGGTGGGGTCCCACCGTCACAGGAGCCCCGGGGTAGGAGGTGGGGTCCCGGCGAGCGTGAGTGGAGGAGGACTGCCGCAAAGCACCAGCGAATGCACGAAGAGCACCTTCACTGTGAGTTAAAGGGTATAATGAAGGGAACAGTGAAAGTATACCAACTTAAATCTGTATTACACTGAATATCATCATGCCATGCACTGTATGTCAGTCTAGGACACATGTTTTAACTCAAAGTACAATACTACTAATGAGAAAAAAGTCAAATTACATGTGTTGTCCTTTTATGTCATGTACAGTATGCAGAAAGACAATGCTAACCAGTAAATTATGCAATTTTTAGGTGACAATTATTTAATTAGTTATGAAGGTCTTGTCACATTTTAAAAATAGGAGCCTAATTCTGTAATCTATGATCTTCAGCCTCCTGTGTTGTCAGCCAAGTCTCCTCTGAAGAGCCCAGTGAAACGGCGCTCAGGGCTCTTCCCTCGTCTCCACTCCAGCACAGACACCCCATCGGACAAACACACACGCAGGTAGGTGGTTAAGACTCGCTGTTTCACATGTCGCTGCCTTTCCCGATCACTATCATTGATCATGATTATGTTACAACACCACAGACACCAACATTGTCTGTGCTTTGATACAGGTTGTGGGAGTCCAGGAAGTCGTCATGTTGGTGATGTCATTAATGTGTTTTGGGTTTTTTTTTGTCTGCAGCGACCAAAAGCCTGCAGAGACCTGCTCACTGTCCCAGGAAGTGAGGTCAGAGACATCATCCAATCCGAGCTCACCTGAAATCTGCCCCAACAAAGAGAGGTAAGATGAAGTCTAATTTCTGTAGAGGGAAATGGCTAAGTGCAAACTGACTAAAGTGGGTTGACATGTGATTTTTAACTCTTTATCTCTGTTCCCCTCTGTTTTGCTTAACAGGCCGTTTATCAAGCTGAAAGAGTGCAGCAGCGGCAGACCGAACATCTCCCGTTCTTCATCCAGCACCAGCAGCTTCAGCAGCACCACAGGGGAAACAGAAGCTCTGGAAGAACTGGAGACAGTGAGTGCTCTTACACTCAATGAGAAGAAAATGTGTATAAAATCTGCCCCACTTTATCTGAGAGCAGAACTGGAAACACATTCTTAAAGAAGTGTGAGGTTGTGGGTAGTTTCAAATGTTTTCATGGATGAGAGAGTCTGTAATTGCTAAGCATTGTCTAATAGAGAGTGTTGACTGTCAGCACATTGATTATAATGATTACAGCTTCTCTCACTTGCTTTATGTCAGATGACACTGCCTGTCAGTGTTGTTTTATTCTCACCATTTAACTGGATGAGAATCAATGTGCACAGTGTGGTGTTAAAATTGTCATGTTGATTATTGAAGGCCAGTTAAAATAGTTAAAGTAGTGCTTGGATGCATTATGTAGCAGTAAAGTACACCAGTGATTGTCACAAGAGAAAAGATGGATCATTTCATGCCTTTCTTTGCCTCTCCTCATTCAATTTGGATTGGTTTAAAATGATACATTTCTGAAAAATTACTTTTTAGCCATGATTTAGAGAAGATTGATATCGCTCTCATGTTCGTGTGATATTTAGGAAGCTACCATCTGGAGCAGTTTAGCTGCCTACCTCTGAAACTCACTAATTAATAGGTAATATCTTGTTTGTTCAATATGTACAAAAGTGTAAAACCAACAAGCACATAATCTTCCGTAAAACAGAAACAATATGTTGAAAGAACACAAATGAGCAGATAAACTATATAATGAAGGCTCTTCCCTGCAAAGCATCCTGTCCCCTCAACATCCAGCTGTACTTCATGTGCTGAAAATTCAGTGCCTCTAACTTTGCTGACAGGAATGTTCAACACCACTTCCTTTATTCATTGAGGCTCTTCAGTTTCTTTCATCTTCCTCCATGTTAAATTTCCTTCTGCTCTCACTGTCCCCAGGCCAGCCATCCCTCTATAGCATCCTCCTCTGCCTTCAGTCCTGCCCTTAGTGTCGACAGCCAGGGATCAGGTACCCCTGTCATCATGTGCCGCAGTCCAACAGGTAAACCTACAGATTTAAATACAGACACACTGAGAGTATTCAGATCCTATGGTCAACATTTGAACAGAATTACATTCTAGAGATGACAGATTTTGGTTTACTTTGTTTAGCATTTTCTTCCTTTCATTTCATATTCAGCAGATGGTAAAAGTAAGACGTCACCGAGGTCAAACTTGAAGTTCCGCTTTGACAAAATGAGCCATTCATCGACTGCTGTAAGTCTTGTAATGCCTGTCTGGTTAATCAGTATTCTTGTAAAGCACTTTGTGACAAGAAACATTCTTGTCACAAAGTGCTGATAAAAAAATTGCACATCAAACATATTAAAACATTTCAAGGTTATAAGCAGAACATGACATGTGAGTTAACATCATGATTTCAACAGGCCTTAAGCAATAGTGTGTTTTTGATACTCACTGTCCATCTCCTGGACATGTCATTATCTCTGGATCACTGTAATGTCATTGAAACAGCAGAGCTGGTGCTGGGTAATAGCCCCAGATTGAAAGATGCATGCTTTCAGCAAACGCCCACCTCTAACTGGCCTCTCTGTTCACTTTTCTCTCTTTCAGTCCGAGTAGCTTTGTGGAATGGAAATAACAGAATTGCACAACAAAGGGACTGCACGGGCTGACGGAGCTGCAAAAAAAAAAAAAAACTAAATCCCAACATCAACCACAAACTCATTGTAGAACCGCTTCCTTAAACCACGGATAATCTGACAAGATTACCAACTGCACCAGAGTCCCCACACACTATAAACCAACTGACAATACTGTGAGTGTATAGTGCGGAGAAGCAGCTGACATGTTGGCTTTCTTTGTAACCAACCTTTAGCTACATAAACGAGTCCATACTTTGCCAATGTTACAAGTTGCTGCATCTCAGCTGTTAATTGTTCACATCACATGGAAGTCCTAGCATGGCTGTAATACTGTGAGTGTAGGCCAAGCGCCACTCTGCCTCAGCTTTTCGTCAAACGTCTTGTTTAATAGAGAGCCACGGTGATCTAGAAGTATGGTAACATGAGACTATGGCTGAACTGTTATTTTTATGTAGTCAACTGCAGAGTGCTCAGTGGAAAAAGATGTCTTTAAGAATCGTCATGTTCCCTTTTGCCTTTGCCCTTGAATGGTACGTCTGGGAACAGTTCCTCTTTGGCTTAAAGAGAGTATGCAGACACACACATGCACAGAAACAATGTTAACTTACAGTAGCAATGTTTTGGAGGTGACAACACTGGGAGTCTCAATACTCCACTGTTAGGATCTGAGCTTGTTCTTTGCATATAAAAATGCTATTCTAGGGAACATGTTTCATTTTGGAGAGGCTTTTGTAACTTTGCTAGATACTGCATTGTGTCTGCTGCACTATAAACAACACCCATCACAGCATTTCTGTGTCTGCAAGGGTAACTTCAAATCCCTGAACTCAAGTGCTTGGTTAGTGGAATTCAGCTCATATAGGGCACAGTAGGAGACACTGCCAACACATTTTGCCATAAGCTTATTTTAGCCAAAGCTGCGCCTTACAATCTATCAAACGCCCTGTTCACCACTGATGCTCTCACTCACTTTCTCTCTCTCTCTCTCTCTGTCTGTCTCCTTCTGTCTCTCTCACTATGTGAGAGGACAAGAATCTTCTGGATCTGGTTACAGCACAGTTGTGGGTAGCCAATCAACACCCACATTTGCTGAAAATAGACGTTGCACTTACTGAAAACATTTCACCTTCTGATACGTCCAATTTGCTAGCTTGGTGTATCTGCGTTTATGTTCGGCGGAACTTTCAACCAGGAAAGTCTCCAGGGTTTAAAGTTCCCCAGCATGTGAGCTGATGAAGATGACTTGAAAAAGAGAATTCAGGTTAAATGAACCTTTGAACCACCTTTGGCAAAAACACTTTGAATGTGAACTTGGAGCTTTTTTGTATTTTTTGATTTCACGCTTTGTTAGTTGTTACTACCTTCTAAGTAAATTGCAAAGCCAGTTGCTTACAAGCACAACAGGACAATAGGTCTACTCTAGTACACAACTATACCATAGCATTAGCCTGCACAAACTAGAGTTAGCAGAGCAAAGTTGGAGCGTGCTAATAAAGAAAAAGCTTGAAAGACACACATATGTGTTTTCCTACGGTATGTGACCAAACAACCAAGCTGGTAGGTCTTTGGAAGAATGTCTATGTACTCTTACTGTGTAGAAAACCATTCCTGTTCCTGCTGACAGGACGGCTTAATAGTGTGTGTAGTTGTGTCAAATAGAACTCAAATCCCACAGGGTTTAAAATGGTCAGCTCACCCAGATCATAGGTGAATAGGTGACTTTTTAACTTGCCAGGAATCTGTTGAATTTCTTGAGAAGTACGCCTCTGATATAACTGGACTAGAACCAGATGTGTGTTCAGTTCAGTTAGTGTACACCGGTGATTACCTCGAGTAAGGGAAGCAGGGACAGAAATCATACAGATGCGAGAAGTTCAGATGTCGTTTAGTTTGTAGCAGGTATCGCCTAAACGCCCTGCAGCCTTTTCTCTGTTAATATGCTTAATTTATTAAAATGATAACTTCTTTTGCATTGATGTCATGTAAAAATGTAACTGCAGAGTACGCTAAATAATAAGGTAAAATGATTAAAGGAAATATATTAATTTAAAAGATGTCTAAACATGTATATGTATATTTGGTTATGTAACGTGCCATTGAGAATTTATTCTAAAATAAAATGTTGTATTTTGTGTCATTTATGTGTTATCTCTTTTTTAAAATCTCACATGCAACACTTGGAGCACAATACAAGGGTTCATACTGTTACTGTGGTCATATTTTATTGTTCTATTTACACCGACACATCAGACAGACATTGCAGACAAAGTTTGTTTCACATTTTAGAAACTGCTTTACCTTTAAACTGCATTTAATGTTTCTCTTGTCCACAGTCAAAACAATAGAAGTGTTGATATGAGTGAAATTAGAGCACAGAGTCATGTCTTTTTCTCTGCAGCACCTCAGGGTGCTTCAGCTGATAGATGCATGCTGCAATATTTTCTCATTATCTGCTTCACTTGCTGTCTGTTTTGCTATGTTCGTTTAATGGATTTTTGGCACTTGTCTCTCCTTCATAATTAAAACAGTCACGGTCTCAGGAGAGTCCTTAGACCTGATAGACCAGCATTACTCTGCTGGATCCTGTTGTATCTTATTTTGTCCTTTGCTTTAATGATTTACCACAATACGCAGGTGAAATCTTGAGCTTGAGAATGACGCAGTAGGGAAATATTTCTCTGAATGCCTCAAAGATGCCGTCCTGCAGTTAGTGAGAAACCCCCAGGTCCTGTAAGTCCACGTCTGATGTTTTAAGACGTCATGGATCCTGCAGAACCTTTTTATAAAAAGTAATATAGAATTGATCCAGGTCAGACAACTTTCCACCTCCACCTCAGGAAAATCTGAGTGACGAGTACACAGTGGACTGGGCAGGCTCTCTGGTGGGTTCCTGTTGTCTCGGTGCACCCTGGGAAACTACTGCATACACCACCTGTAACATTGCAAATGGAAAAAAAAAGTTAGTGAAATGCATACAAGGTAAAATTTATGGACTATTCAAGGCCAGTCAGAGGAAACAAACTATGTTGAGGGCACTGCAAAGGGCATTCAGTCGAGAAACAGGACATACACCCACCTCTTTGTTCTGCTGGGGCTTGGGGGGAGCTGTAAAATGCAAAAAATAACATAAAAAACAGTGAATGCACAATGCTAAAGTAACTTTCTATCAGTGTTATAAGGTACACAGTAAGAACACAAGATACCTTTGGCTTTGTGAGAGGAAGAGCTACGTTTCTGGGGTATCGGGCACCGAGGTGGGGGCTGTGGAGCCGGGTGTGGTTGGTCTCCGTACGCAGCTGCATGTGTGGACAGCGTTCTGGGAAGTGGCTGGGGCTTGACTTCTGAACTCAGAAAACGAGCCAATCCCAGAATGATGGGAAGACAAAGAGAAGCGCCGGCACAGACCAAAACCCTGTGCAACACACTCCTCTGAGAGGGGACAGCTAGGGGAGGACAGAACAATGCACACAAGCAATGCAATTAGACTTTTCTATTTGAATTTTTTTGATATTTTGATGTATTTCTTTTATATAGTTCTGCTCTTTTTTCGCTTTTGTCAGAATAACTAATTTAGGACTGCAAATACAGACACATACATGACAAAGAACAATGACACACATTTGGCAATAATACATACCTGCAGTGATGTTCACATGCATGACATGCCCCTGTTCAGTTATACCATTTTCCCAAACAACGCTGTATGCGTAAGAACCTGCGTCTGATTGGGTGACGCTCAGGAGATCCAAAATTTGTTTTGTTTTATTGGGTGAGAGTGTCACATTGTTAAAACGGTGCCTCACACTTTCGTTTACATGCTGGGACATAGCAGTCGGTGAATTTGTCCACTTCCAGTGCCCCATCCAAGAGGCTCCACAGTGCTCGACCACGCGAAACAGAGACAGACTGCTCCCTGCTGGTACATGAAAGGTTTCAGATCGGCCCAGAATAGCCTGGACGCATTGCTCAGCACGGACACCTGAAAAAGGGAAGTCTCTCTTTAACTCATCAGATTGCAGCAAGAAACAGTATGTTGTCATTTCGCACATTAGTGACTGTTACTGTTTTAATTATGCAACATGTTGATGAAATCTTTGTCATCTCTTTAATCTTTTTCAAATTACCATAGCAAGACCGTATGTTACCATTAAGAGGCTGAGTATTTGACTGATAAAGATAACTATACACTTATTCTATGTCATATAACACACACCACACAGGCACGCAAAGATTGCTTAATAATTTGGGTTGTTTTGTTATTTCGTCACATTCATAGGGCAGCTACATTACAAAAGACAATATGTTAGAACTTATTTTAAAAGATCTTTAAAAGGTCTTTATCGTTACCTTCACTAGAGCTGATGAAACAAATGTTTATTCTAAGGCATACGCCTGTCCAGTCTTAGCCAACCAAGTTCCTCAAATACAACATAATGTATGGGGGAGATTTATTATATAGATTTTTAATTTCTGCCTGTAGAATCAGAATTCTGATTCTGATTCTGATTATATAGATTTTAGTGAGATTTCAGATCTACATGAACAAAAACGTGTTACTTACCAGTATGAAGAAGGCAGAGACAGCCGATGGCACTGAGGAGATAGTTACCCATGTCTGACTGTAACAGTGTCTTGGTCATGGCTCATCAGAGGTCAGTTTTACTTCCCCGTACAGATTAATTTTACTTCTTGGGAAGGGCTGGGTAATAAGCATGGCTTTGTTGGAAACCCACACTGCTCGTCCAAGTGAAAGAGCTCGCTCCTTCTCTCACTTTCTTTTCCTTTTCTCAATCATTTGACATGCTTTCCTTCCTTTATCCTGCTGTTACATGCCCAGATAGAGGTAAAGGAAGGAAGTGACATAGTGATCATCCAGCCCCCTCCACACACACACAC